CCAGCAGCCGTGTCCAGGTCTGCTGGTTCTGCAGGCAGCGGGTGAGGGCGTTCTCCACCGTCACGTTGAAGTTCTGCTGGTCTGCGAGGGATGGGGTCAGGGATTAGGGGAGTCGGGGATGGAGCAGACCCCGGCTCCCCAACACCCACCTGCGTTGCTGGTCACTGATGTCGCTTGGGTGAAGTTGGGGCAGAAGACGGCGTAGTCGAAGTGGCAGGGCTGTGGGGAGACAGAGCCTGCAGGACCCACGTGTGGGACCAGGGAAGATGGGTCCAGGGAGGGGGCGATCCGAGTGCGCCCGTGCACCCAGGGATGGAGGTGGGATACAACCAGGAGCACAAAGCATCAGCTCCACCTCACTGCTCCCCATGCTGACACTAAAGCAGGTCCCAGCACAGAGAGAACCCAGTGACGCCCCCCCTCTGCACCCCAAAACCTCACCATCAGCAGCTTGAGCAGCGCTGCCGTGTCCCGGTCCCCCGTGGCATTGAAGAGCAGCACTCGCACCTCGGAGCCGCTGTGGAGAGAAATGATGGGTCCCCCATGCCCCACGGGGACCCCCCCATTGTGCGTGCGTCCCCTCCTGTCCCCTCCTTACTCGTGGGGCCTGTCCTGGCCGAGGGCAGCCTGGCGGAACCATCGCACGCAGGCCTGGATGCTGCTGGTGGTGTGAGCCCCGTCCAGGTACCACGTCACGGGGCCGTGGGGCAGCACTTGGGTCCGGCCAAGCCACTCTGTGTCCCGCAGGCCTTGGGAGGGGGGGGGCACAGGGCATGGCTGGGACCCCATAGGGACCACATGTGGGGCAGGCAGCCAGGCACAGGATGCCCCCCCTCCAAGCGCTATGAGATGGGGGGGGGTCTGGCATGTCCATACTGCACCTTGGATCATGGCATCGGTGGGTTGGAATGCAGGCGCCAATGGCACCGGTCTCCCCGCCAGCTTGGTGCTTGGTGGCATCTCCTTCAGCTCCCCAAGACCTGATGGGATGGGTGCTGTGCTGAGGTCCTGGGGCCCACGGCAACGTCTGACCCCCCCCCATCCCTTGCCCCCCCATCCTTACCCCGGCAGCCGCGGCGCTGCAGCCATGTCCGTGCTAACTGCAGGGCCAGGGCAGCGTTGCTGCGCTGGTGGGAGCCCGCCAGCCCCAGCTCCAGAGCATCGTGGTCCTCAAAGTCATCCAGCTCCGGGCACAGGTAGAGGGGACACTGGGGGAAGAGGAGGTTGAGCCCCCCCCTCCCTCCCTATGGGGTGCCCCACATCCACCCCACTGCTGCCCAGCTCACCTCCCGCTCCTGCGCTCGGTCCCTCAGCACCTCCAATGGCCGCTCTGGTTGTGCCACGGTGAATGCTGGCACGCCGGGCTGCGGGGACAGGGGTGCTCAGCACCACGGGCAGTGCACCCCAAACACACAGAGCAGGATGGAGCAGTCTCCGTACCTTAAAGATGCCCCCCTTCTGCCAGGCAATCTTCTCCATGGTGTCCCCCAGGATGCTGGTGTGGTCGATGCCCAAGGAGGAGACCCCGCACACCACCGGTGCCCTGGGATGCAGTGTGGTGGTATCCACGCTGCCCCCTCCACCATAGGGATAACAGGCACAGGGGCAGGCTCTGTCCCACAGCTCCTACCTGATGATGTTAGTGCAGTCGTAGGCACCGCCAATGCCAACCTCCACCACTGCCAGGTCCACCTGGGGACACAGGGACAGCAAAGCCATCAGAGCCACCAGCAGTGGGTGCCCCCATGGATTCAGGGATGCAGGCATCACTGCCCTGCAAACCCACACCTGAACACGTGCCTTACTCATGGGAAACCATGCACTTGGCGCAGCATCCCCTCTTACAGCACAACTGATGCAAATCCTGCCCCAGCATGGGGCTGGACCCCATGTGCCCCATCCCCAAGGATCCTCACCCCACGCCATGTCCCCATCACAAGCTGGGTGCCACCACCCCCTTACCTTCTCCTGCAGGAAGACATGGAAAGCCATGATGGTGAGGAAGCGGAAGTACGCCGGCATGCTGCCGTGCGCGGGGTCCTGCTGGGCACAGCGGGGGTAAGGGGACAGCAGGGGACACATACCCCATGGGGGGGGGGGGTCCTAAGGGAGGGAGCCCCCCTTCCATCCCCACCTTGGTCTCCTCCAGGCGGTTGTAGACGAGCCAGAAGTACTTGCTGAAGAGCTCCCTGCTGATGGGCTGCCCATTGATGCGGATGCGCTCTCGGACCTGCACCAGGTGAGGGGAGCTGAAGGGGGAGGGCACAGTCAAGCACAGCACCACCAGCACCCCCCCAAACCCCTCCTGACACCCCCTTTCCCACCTGTAAAAGCCAGTCTTCAGCCCATAGCTGCGGAGGATGCACTCGGTGAAGGCACACGCTGAGCCCTGCGGGGAGCAGAGTTAAACCCCGTCCCAGTGGACCAGGAGCAAAGGGGACCAGTGATGGTGACCCCCCCCAGCACCGCCCCCCCTGCCTCACCTTGCCCTTCGTCCCCGTGACGTGGATGATGTTCAATTGATCCAGGTCCTCGACCTGCCGGAGGTCAAACACCCGGTGAGACCCCCAGCCGCCAGCATGGGGGGGGGACACATCGTTGGGGATACCCCCCCATTCACCTTGAGCCCGCTCCTCTCCAAGAAGCCCCTCATGGCTTCCAGCTGGGCCTGGGGGTCTCCACGCTCCCGTTTCACCTGCTCCAGGAAGCTGGCGTTGGTCTGGAGGGTGTTGAGGGTCCGGATGGCATCCTGGAACGATCCGCCCCCCGGCACAGGGGTGGTTAAAGCGGTACCCATCACCGCAGCATCAGGCCTGCACCCATCGCCCCGTGCCCGCTCCAGCGCCCCATGGGGTTCAGCATCCTCTGCCAGCCACCCCGGTGGCATCTCCGCCATGGTGTCGTCCATTCCCCCCCCAAACCCCGCTCTCCGGCAGCACCGGCGCCGCGATGCCACGGGGATGGGGGCATTTAACAGTGGGAGGGACCGCGCCTCCCTGGGCGGCGTTGGCCCCGCACCAGCACCCACAGCACCCAAAGGCGCCGCGGGCGGTGCTCTGTGCCGCCCCGCTGGTGGTTAAACAGAGGCGCCGATTAAGGCAACAGCGAGCACGTGGGACACCGGTGCCGCTGTTACAGGTGGCACCGAGCACCCCGAACGGGGGGGACACACAGGCCTGGCCCCGGCGCTGTGCGTGCTGCAGTGGGGCCCTGGCACAGAACAAGCCCTTGTCCGTGGTGCACGGACGCGCCAGCGGGCTCCATCGCAGCAGGCAGGGACGGGGCACTGGGGATGCTCCCGCCTCCAACAGGCTCCATCTCCGCGGTGGGGTCCCCGCATCCCAGGGAGAGGGCAGGGGTCTGCCCTGTGCCACCCCGGCTGCCGCAGGCTTGCGGGCAGCACACCGCGGTGCGCAACGGCCGCGGGCTGCACGCCGGGACCGGGGCCACAGCAGCGCCGACACCCCGCTGCGGGCCTGCGGCTTGGCCCGGGTCCGGCGGGGCTGGGGAGCCCTCCCGGTACCCCCCCCCCCCCCAACCCCGTTCTCCCATAGCCGGTACCTGGTACTCCATGGCGGGGGCCCGCGCGGGCCGCGTACCGAACCGCCTTCCCGCGCCCCGCAGCGCCCCGCGCAGCGCGCGCACGCCCCGCGCCACCATCCCGCCGCGCCAAGGCACGCGCCCCCCGGCCCCGGGCGCGCCACCGCGAGGCCACGCCCCCACCCTCCCGCCACCGCCGCCATCTTGGAAACGGGCAACACGCGCCACGTTTTGGGGGGGGGGACAGGGGGACGGGACACGGACACGACGACAACGCCATGTTTGTGAAGGGCAGTGGGGGGCACACCGGGATAACGGACCCGGAACCTTCGCTCCGCACCATGGAGGCACCTCTGGGGGGGAACCCTCGGGGCGATGCGGAGGGGCTGGTGCAGGGGAATGACCCCAAACCCCCAACCACGCACTGGGGCGCAAGGGAGCCCCTGTCCCGGCAGCATCACCCTCACCCGGTGCCCCCAGCACCCCGTAATGCTGCCCATGCAGCATTAACCCACCATAGCACTAACAGCGCTGACCCTGCGGGGGGGGGAACAGGCAGAGCAAGGCACCAGCATGGGAATGCCCCCATCCAGCCCCAAACTGGGTGCCTGTCCTCGGCAGGGCCAGAGGTGCTGCATCCCAGCACTGCGGCAGCTCACCCTGCTCAGCAAGAGTGACACAGAGGTTAAACCCAGCCCTTTTGGACTGCATCGTGTTTATTCACAACCAGCTGAAGCCATCTGGCTTATTGCTTGCAACCAACCCTGGTTTAGCCAAAGAAACCAACCCCACACACACCCCCCCGGTGCAATCAGAGCCCCACACCAAGAGATTTACCTTGTACATGTCCTTTATCAGCCTCACTTTGTGTCCTGAGAACGGCCCCGCTCACCACTGCGTCCTCCCCTGAGGCCTTACGTTACCGACGTGGCTTTAGCCATTAGCCTGGTTAACGGACAACCCACCGGATGCCAAAGGTTATCACCCCCTGCATGGCACGTACGTTACCTGGTTGGGATCCATGGGGCTCAGTGAGCCATCTGCGGCTGATGGCCATGGAAGACAAGTGCTCAGCGAGCTGGGAAGGACTGAGGTGGTCCCACAAGGGTCCAGAAGGCGATCACACACCATCACAGTGCCCTGGATCTACACTGGAGCCAAGAGCTCCAGGGCAGAGGCCACAGGGGAGAGCAGACAGCTTGCAATGAGGGTGCTGCTTGCTGCTACAGCCCAGCGATTCCCACTGCAAACCCTGGCTGTATGGAACAAGCTCTGCCAGCCACCCCCCAGTTTACCCAGTAAGCCCAAACTAGACTGGAGCCCAACTCCAGTGAGTTAGTAATCCTGCCTAGAGCAACGCTGCCTTCCCCAAGACAGCTCTGCATTACTCAGAAGCACCTGCCTCGACCTACATCAAAGCTTCAGGGCTCAAAAGATACACCATAGAGGAGCTAATAGAGGTGCCACTACCAACCAAGAGAGCAGAAGCATCTCCCAGCAGCTGCCCCCAGTCCGGCTGGTCACAGCACCATTTGCCAAGAGCCTCAGCACCAAGAGAGTCGCTTTCTCCATCACGACCGCTCTGCAAGATGAACATCACCACTACAGGCTGCTGCAAAGGGGACACAGCTCTGTGCAAAGCTGCAGGGACGCAAGTCTCTCCAGTCACATAGCTCCACAGCGGCTGAGCTGCTGCACGAGGAGAGGACAGAGCTCGGTTCAAGGCACTTCACCTTGAAGAAAGTCCTTTCCCAGGCACAGACCTCCCTGCTCAATGCAACCTGCGGATTCCCCCAAGCAGGACCCCGCTGGGGCCGCCCCTGCTCAGAACACCCTGTCAAACTCGGTCTGGTTGGTGGCAGCCGGGTTCCTGCCTTGGTTAGGCGGCTGCTGGGGCATGTGCCCACCCCTCCTGCGCGGCGGGGCCAGGTACTCGAACATGGACTGGTTGTGGGTGGACAGCATGTTTTTGAGGTCCGAGGGCATGGGGTCTGACCAGAAGAAGTCGTGGTTGAGCGCGTCGTCGCTGTCGATCCGCTGCGCGGGATCCAGCACCAGCAGCTTGTCGATGAGGTCAAGCGCATAGGGGTCCTTCACATAGGCTTTGAGGCGGTCCTTCACCTTGCGCTTCTGGCCCTTGGGGAGATCCAGCTTCTCGTACAGCTCGTACTTATCCACGTTAGGCCAAACCTGGGAAAAGGCAGGAGAAAGGGGAGTTGGGACAATATAGTTATGGAGAGGACAAGCCATTCTTGATGTGAACCCCTTCAGGCAAACCAGGGCGAGGTCTGCTGAGACAATGCTAGTTTATAACTTCCAAGCCAGCAGACCTTGTTCCCACAGGATGAAGGAGGCACTAAAAGGTGCACTAAAGCCTGGAGACGCGTGGACAAGTCAAGACAGCGTCCTTCTGGTGTGGGAATGGCACGCAGGATGCTCCAGGAGTTCTGGTTCTCCCACAAAATTGCTACTAGAGAGCACAGCTCCAACATCCAGAAAGGTTGAGTGACAAAACTCATTGCTAAATAACACCCGGGATGTATGCGGCACCTTTTATCCTTACAGAGCAAAGCATGATGCAATCACGGGCACTTCTCTCAACCACAGCAGGTATTTACATACAAAAGAAAGCGCCTTCAGTGTACACAGATAATGTATGCACACAATGTATGTACCGTGAGGCCTCTGCAGCTGCCCGCACAACCCTCAGCTCGGTCCCCACCAGAGGGCAGGACAAGCTGCTCTTAAATAAGGAGCTGAGCACTCACACCAGGCTAAGCTGATGCCACGAATCACAAGTTAGAACTCCAGAGGCTTTTCAAGGTGATCAAAAAACCCCACTCTTCTTTAAGCAGGAATTCAGAGGGTGTTTATCTCAGAGACAACCCCCAAACACAGGCCAGATTCCTACATGTAACATTCTGCTCTTTCACACTGGAGCAGCCAGCATCCTCTCTGTGCTCAAAGATACAACTTGCCCTTCGCAAAGGAGGTCTGGAAGACCAGGTTCATCCTCTTCTCCTCAGAGGCTGAACACAGGTAATGTGTCAGCTGTAGCTTACACAAGGGAAGCACAGTGCACCCAGCCACCAGGAGGCAAACACCACTTGCAGGAGCTTCCCCAGCCTCCCTGCCACACTCCAGCACTGGAAGCACACAGAAGCCAGCATACAGAGCAGGGAATGGAGCCAGGGGTGCCTGATCCCAGCCATTGCCCACATCACCGCTTCCTTCCTCCCTGCCCATGCCCTCGCCCTCACCTCCGGCGTGATGGACCCACAGAGCTGGCTGATGAGGGTGAGCTGGTGCTGCTCCGTATTCCCCTGCATGATGGGGCTGCGGGTCCACATCTCTGCCATGATGCAGCCTCCACCCCACAGGTCAATGGGGGGGCCGTAGTCCCGCTCCCCTAAACAGAGACTCCGTGTTAGTCACCTGGGGGAAGGAGAAGGGCAGAGAAGAGCGGAGCCCAGCACCTCGTACCTAGGAGCAGCTCTGGCGGCCGGTACCACAGGGTCACCACGCGGTTGGTGTAGCGGTTGGGTTGGCTGTTCTTAGCCAGGCTGAAGGCGCGAGCCAGCCCAAAGTCTGCCAGCTTTAGGACTCCATCCCGTGTGATCAGGACATTCGCAGCCTTCATGTCTCTGTGCAAGATCTGCATAAGGACAGACACCAAAAAGTTAAGCCACGAAGGTCCCCTCCTTCGGTACCTAGTGCTAGAGGGCACTTGGAGTCTGGACTCCCTTCCAGCCCGTGCTAAGACATATGCTCCTTGGAAAGCCATGAAGAGCATGGATCTGGTACATTACCTTGTTCCTGTGGATGTAGTAAAGCCCATTCAACAGCATCTGCATCACTTTCTTGATCTCTGAGAGTGTGAACTTGACGTGGGCATTGCTGAGGAGACCAGCCAGATCGTGCTCACAGAAGTCAAACACAAGGTAGATACTGCCCTTGCAGCGGTTGTAGGGAGAAGCTATGGGAGAGGCAAAGAGGGACTGTCAGCACGGGACCCTTAACCCCATCACAGCTCCTTCCTGCCCTCCCAGCCACCCCGCTGCTCATACAGTGCTCATCAGACAAAACCTCAGGGCACAGGAACACAGAGAACCAGAGACAGCCTCAAGATCCTTCTTAAAGAGGCACTGAGACAGCACAACCAGCAATGGAAGAACAGGGGATGAGGGTGAGAGCAGTGAATTTCATCAGTTAGGCAAGGAAAGGAAATGACATCCTTTGAAAGCTTCACTTTGTGCTTGTTCTGTGCAATAACGGCCGTGGGGTTTCCTCCCTGCAAGCTGTGGCTGGTAGGTGCACACACACCTCGCTGCCAGCCAAGCATTATCACTGATGGCATCAGCGATAGAGGAGGCACCAGCAAAGACAGCCCCAGGGGAAATGCAGAAACAGAGAAACTCTCTCTAATATTAGAGTGAGGTTTTCCGCAACCTCAAACTGCATCTAAAACAGACTGATCTGGATCAAAGGGACTGAAAAATTCCAGCTCCAACTGCAATTTACAGTAACAGGAAACCTCACACGAAGCAACCGATTCCAATCTTGTTCCTAGAGCACACGTGCAAAACACTATAAAAAGAAAGGCTGATTTTCATCAGCTAAACTCACTGATGAGCAACTCCAACCAGAAAAGGATGCCTAAGCTCAGCCCCCATGGAAACACATCACTGCTTGCCACACTGGGTTTGCAATTCCTTACACGGACACAGCCCCTTCTGAAACCTTCAAGCCTGAGAACAGCAAATGCAAAGTTTTTGCTTCACTGGAAACTAAGGTCAAGGTGGATTTGGATGAAAAGTGGAATTCCAACAAAACACACGCAACTCGTGCGTCTCCAAAAGTATTTACCTTGGGTTTGCCAGGCACAGTCATCCCAACTTAACCACACAATGAATTACAGATTAACCTGTCACTGGTTTTCACTCCTACCTGCCCAGACAATAACCTACACGCAGTGGAGTACTGGAGTAACTGCAATCCCTGGTCCTGAGCCAGAGGTTTTTCCCCAGTTCAGTGACCGGGCTCTTCAAAATCAATCACAAGCCACTTGGTGTTTATTTAACTGCAGGGACTGACTGGATGTTGTGGCTGAAGCATCAGCTGCCACTTTCAAAAGCATTTTTCCAGTAAAAATGTATCTAAGAGAATGATATATTCAAACTAGCTAATGTTTTAAAGCCATACCACTGACACAGAGCCAGGCCAGGAGCACTGAGCACGCCAGCCACGCACTGAAGGAACACTGTGTGTGGTACAACAGCTCTGAACAGCCCCACCTGGAGCTCCAGCCCTCACAGCACGTTTCTGTCACCGACAGAAAGATGCTGATTGAGTCTCAGCTCAGAGCTACCACAAACCCAACCATCATAAGCCAGCTGAGACGGACAGCTCGAGCTCCTGTGAACAGCCACAAGATCAGCTCTGGTTGAGGACTCTCTGCTTCAAAGTGTCTCCAGTGGTGGCTTATTTAAAGCCTCTCACAGGTGAGTTTTCCAGCACAGGCAGCACTCACGGCCATGGCACAGGGATATCCTAGCAGGACTGACAACAGCTTTCCCAGCCAAGCTGCAGCAACACCACAGACAGGAACAGAAGCCCATGCTCAGCTGGAGGACCCTGCTCCCAGCACAAGACACCAGGCTGCTCAGCAGTAAAGAAGGGATGAACCAAAGGCAGCAGCCAGCACAAGGCAGACCCTGCCAGCTACCTTTGGTCCTGCAGATTTCGATGAGGTTCACCACGTTCTCATGTTTGAGCAGCTGGAGGATTTTAATCTCTCGCAAGGCTGTGATGGGGAACTGGAAAGGAGAGAACAGGGATTAGAGATGCAGGAGACCAGGCCACCCCTGCCTAGAGAACAGGAGAGACATGACCATAGCTGCTTGGCAGGGGACCTGTTTGAGCCCCACCTCGACAAATCACTGAATGGCAATGAGAGGTTTAAAATACAACACAGACCCCAGGATTGTCCAAGTTTATTTATCATCAGGCACCGGTGGTGATGAAGATTCCGCCATGAGACAGAGGTGTTTCCATGGTGCCTGTTCACAACAGCACATGGCAGAGCCTGGCTCCAGCTGCAGAGCAGGCTCCCTGCCTGCTGCCCATGCCATTTAAGCTGTTAACTTACCCCATCTCTGCACACCCCTGAGCACGTGCCTTTCACACGCTACCCAGTTCCTCCACAAGCAACAGCCAGTGTGGAGCCCTGCGCTGGGGGCGGCAGGGGAGGAAGAACGTGTGAGCAGCATCATTGCAACAGCTCCTTGCAGCCCAGTCACCACGCAGGTACTGCACTACACTGCTGCCATGTGCCTTTGTAGCCAGAAGGGGCACCTTGGATGGGCAACCTCAAGGACCAACATTATCACAGTGTAGGCAGGGGAGGCAAAACGCCCCAGGGCTGAGATCCTGCCCACATCCATGTTACAGCCATAAACTTTGTTAAAGAACACAGTGAAAGTGCATTTTTGCCACCCCAAAGATTAACTCCCACCTGCGAACCCCCCAGTCCCGACCTCCCCAATCCCAACCTGGACACGCTCACACACTTACCCCCTCCTTCTCGTTTTCCATCAACACTTTCTTCAGCGCTACTTTCTTGCCCGTCTGACGATGCTTGGCTTTGAAAACCTCCCTGTAACAACACAAACCAACCCCTGAGCAGCACAAGGAAGGCACCAAGCGCTCCCGACCAGGCACAATCCCAACCGAGACACACCACAGCACCACACACGCAGCCCTGTGCCCGACACAGCCACATCCCCTTTGCACCCAAGACCAGTAGAGCCCCTCAGGAACACAGGGCAATGCCCCCACTGTCTCCAGGATAAACTCTGCCATATCCTGGCGCAGAGCAGGGCCCCAGGGTGGGAATGAGAGGCTCCGGGGACGCAGAGGGAGGGATGAGGGAAGGACCCGAACAAGGCCTGAGGGGGCTGAGGCCGGGGCAGGCCGCGCCCGGTGGCGGTGAGCCGGGCCCGGCGGAGCACTCACCCGAAGGTGCCCTGGCCGATCTTGGCGAGCTTCTCGTACTTGGACACCTCATCGCAGAAGGGGCACTCCACCATATCGTACTGCTTGGCCATGGCGCCGCCGGCCCGACCCGGCTCCGTTCCACACCGCACCGCCACCCGCCCGCCCCTTACCTCCGCCACCGCCGCCACCGCACTTCCGCTGCACGCACCGTCACCGCCCCGCGCGGGGGCTGCTGGGACTTGTAGTCCTGCGGGGGTTTGCTGGGACTTGTAGTCCGGCGGCGGCCGCCATGTTGTCACCGTGCCCGTGCCTCAGCATCCCCATGGAGCAGCGCCGTGTCCCCGCTCCCCGGTGCTGCTGTCCCCAACGCGTGTCACCGGGATACAGCAGCATCTCCGCTCCCTGCCGCTGCACTGCACCAGGGGACGTGGGGAGGGGACAGGGGCGAGGGGACACCGGGGTCTGGTCCCCGAGTTCCTGCTTTGCTGGCAGAAATCGCCATGGTTGGGGTGAAGCCTCCCCATAGCAATGTCCACTTGTGGGTGCAGAACGGGTGGGTTTGGGGCTGTTTGGGGCCAAGGCTGCGAGCACAGGGAGCAAGGGCCAGAGCAGTAACGGGCATCCTGGACACCGGGACCGCCAGGTGCTCCCTGGGGATGGGGGACAACACAGACACCATAACCCTGCTGGTCCTAGGGTTCTCTGTCCCGCAGGGAGACACCCGTATGGGGCACCCAAAGGTGCCCCAGCATGAGAGAAGAGCTGGTGACAGGGGCTTCCATTGGCAGTGATGGCAGCTGGCTGTCACCCCATGGGGCACAGGGAGGGCAGGAGCTGAGCCCCAGATGTGCATGGCAGGGCCCTGTCTGCAGGGCAGGACTCTCCTCCATAGGGATGGCACCCTCCTCCATAGGGCTGGTACCCTCCTCCATAGGGATGGCACCCTCATCCATAGGGCTGGTACCCTTCTCCATAGGGATGGCACCTTCATCCATAGGGCTGGTACCCTTCTCCATAGAGATGGCACCTTTGACAAAGGCTGGCACCTTCATCCATAGGGCTGGTACACTCCTCCATAGGGCTGGCACCTTCATCCATAGGGCTGGCACCCTCCTCCATAGGGCTGGCACCCTCCTCCATAGGGCTGGCACCTTCATCCATAGGGCTGGCACCCTCCTCCATAGGGCTGGCACCCTCATCCATAGGGCTGGCACCCTCCTCCATAGGGCTGGTACCCTCCTCCATAGGGCTGGCACCCTCATCCATAGGGCTGATACCCTCCTCCATAGGGATGGCACCCTCATCCATAGGGCTGTCACCCTCCTCCATAGGGATGGCACCCTCATCCATAGGGCTGTCAGCCTTGACAAAGGCTGGCACCTTCATCTGTAGGGCTGGCACCCTCCTCCATAGGGCTGGCACCTTCATCCATAGGGCTGGCACCCTCATCCATGGGGCCATCAGCCCTGTCCAGGACTGACTTCCTCCTCTATGGCTGTCACCCAAGCGTTTTGGGTGCTCTGTACTGCGAGGGCTGTGGGGCAGCAGGAGGGCGGGCAGGGCCAAGGGCAGGGCCAGGAGCAGACGATGACAGCGATGGGGAGGAAGTGCCATGGAGCGATGAGTGACTGCGAGGGGGGGCAGGAAGGGAGGGCGGGCAGGGAAGGGCTTCACAGTTATAAACTGGTCCCTCTCGTCCCTGCGCCTCCGAGCGGCGCGGCCATGGCCGAGGGGCAGAAACGAGGGGGCTTCAGGAAGTTCAGTAAGCGGCTGTGGGGCGGGATGGGGTGGGACGGTGTGGGGTGGGGTGGGTGGGCACCTGCCCAGGATGGAGTGGATGGGGATGTGTGAGAGTGAATGTGAGTGTGAGTGATTGTGTGTGTGAGAGTGAATGTGAGTGTGAACATGAGACAGTGACTGTGTGTGTGTGAGTGAATGTGAGTGTGAAACAGTGAGTGTGAATGTGAGTGTGAGAGAGTGATTGTGAGTGTGAGTGATTGTGTGTGTGAGAGTGAACGTGAGTGTGAAACAGTGTGAATGTGTGAGACAGTGTGTGAGTGATTGTGTGTGAGAGTGAATGTGAGTGTGAAACAGTGAGTGTGAATGTGAGTGTGAGACAGTGATTGTGAGTGTGAGTGATTGTGTTTGTGAGAGTGAATGGGAGCGTGAGACAGTGATTGTGTGTGTAAGAGTGAATGTGAGTGTGAAACAGTCAGTGTGAGAGAGTGATTGTGAGTGTGAGTGATTGTGTGTGTGAGAGTGAATGTGAGTGTGAGACAGTGTGAGTGTGAGTGTGTGTGTGAGAGTGAATGTGAGTGTGAAACAGTGAGTGTGAATGTGAATGTGAATGTGAATGTGAATGTGAATGTGAATGTGAATGTGAATGTGTGTGTGCTCACACGCTCCCTGTGTCGCTCCAACCCGGGTACATCAGGAGCTGAAGCAGGCTCTGCTCTCATTAGGAAGCTCATTTGGGTGAGGGTCTTTGAGGGGTCTCCATCCCCAGCGCTGGGGCTGAGCTCGGGTGCTGCTGGCTCAGGAGCTGGGTACCGGGATGCACGCAGGGGGATGCCCAATAGGGTTTGGGGGGGTCCTCACTCCCCAGATCACATCCTAAGGGGTGCACCATCAGGGGTGCAAGCCGGGGGCGTCCAGGACCCATACAAAGGAGCTGGGTGGGAGCCTGGGAGCGCATTCCCGGCTTCTGCTCCCGGAGGAAGCGCTGGTACCCATCGGGAGCGAGCTCTGCTCTTTCTCACAGCCCCGGGGGCGGCTGCTGTGGCCTTCACCCCGCTTCCCAGCGCCGGGCTGAGCGGGAGCGGCCTCTGCTGCTCTCTGCATTCCTGCGCGGCGCTGGCGCTGGGGGGAGGCCGGTCCTTGCGTTCCCCAGGGACCCTTCCACTGGCAAAACCCACGTCCCCATCGCAGCTGGGATCGGCCTTTACGGTGGGAGGTGGGAAACCTCCCCAGCGCTGCCTTTCCCACCCCGCAGCAGCCCTGGGAGCAGCCCTGCGGAGGATGCTCGGACTCGGAGGGGATGCTCAACCCAAAGCAGTTTTGCCTTTAACTTCACTCAGGCCATCAGGTTTCTAACATATAGAAACGCTTTTTGGCTGATGCAGCCCCTGTGTGGCTATGGGGATGCTCTGCAGAGCCCATGGCTGGTGTCAGGGGATGTGGGTCCATGAGCTCCTCGCACAGCACAGCCGCAGCGCGCTGCTTCCTGCCACAGCAAACTCTCGCTGCCTGCAGGGGAAGAGGGTTTGCAGAGCCCCGGGGTGTCACAATCATTGCAAAACACCCCCCCTCCTCCCGAGGCAGCCGGAGCACAGCAGTGAAACCCTGCCCTGCAGAGCCTGCATCACCCCGTGTGCCACCGTCCTTGTGCAGGCTGCACGGCTTGGGGGCACACAGAGCGGGGCCGGGGCCGAGGTGTGACATGAAACCTGCCTGCTGCGGGTGTGCACACTGCTCTGTGAGAGCTGGGTGCTTGCAGGTGGCTGCGAGGAAGTGGGGAAGTCAGCTCCTGCCCGCAGCCGCGGTCATGGCCGGTTCCTGCTCTGCCGTGCAGAGCATCACAGAATGGTTCGGGTTGGAAAGAACCTTTAAATCATCCAGTTCCAACCCCCCGCCACGGGCAGGGACACCTCACGCTAGAGCAGGTTGTTCCAAACCCCATCCAACCCGGCCTTGAACACACACATGGACCCCATCCGCTGGGGAGATGGGGTGTGTCCCATGCTTTCACCCTATATAGGGCAGGGGATATGCCCTGTGGGGCTGCCCTGATGCTCCAGGGATGGGCACAGCCCTGCCCAGAGTCCCCAGTGGGAAGCAGAGAGGCGGCGGGGCAGGAGAAGGAGATCTGGAATCATTCCTGGCACTCCCTGGTGTGCTCACCAGGGCTGGGTGGTTCTTCCTCTGCCTCTACAACAGGGAAACGCTGCAGTTGGGTTTGCCAAGGCACAGGGGTTGTTTGCTCCCTAAGGGATACCCCAAGCAGCATCACATCCACCCAAGGCCGCAGGGATGTCCTGCTGGGCTGGGACTGGAGATGCAGGGTGTAACAGGGCTGACATCAGGCTGCACCATGGCACAGTGCCCCATGCACACCCCAGCCCAGGACCTCACCCTCACACCATGCCACCAATAACCCCACATGCGTCTCTCCCCTCTCCTTGCCAGAGTTCTTCAAGTTCAAAGGCTTCGGGAGCCTGAGCAGCATCCCCCGGTCCTTCACCCTCCGGCGTGTGTCCGTAGCCCCCAGCACTCCCGAGAGCCTGGGACCGTGTCTCCCTCCTTCCCATGGCTTCCTGGAGGAGCCCTTCGACAGCACCCAGGATGATCTCAACACCATGCCCAAGAGCCCCGGGCCCTATGCCCGGTCATCAGACATGTACAGCCACATGGGCACCATGCCCAGGATCAACCTGGGCAAGGCGGGGAAGAGCCAGGGAAAAGCCAAGAGTAGCCAGAGCTGCCGGAATAATGGGATCCCCAGTAACAAGCCCCTGCTCCCCAGCTCCAAGATGTCCATCACCCCTGATCTGGGCACAGATTCACCCTCAGCCACTGGGCAAACAGAGCAGGAGGCGGAAAAGGCTCAACCCATGGACGCTCCAGTGATGACCAGGATGGAGCAGGAGCCTGCAGGGAGTATCTCCTGCCCCGGGATGGAGGCACCGAGCCTGGACCCAAATCCCAGCCAAACCCCGAGCCCTGATGCAGCAGCAGGATTGGAAACCACTGATGGCGATCAAAAGGGGCAAGAGCATCCCAGCGAGATCTCCCCAGACAGGTACAGCCCCATTGGGTTTGCTGAGCCTTCCTATGGGACCCCTTTTCCCCCCCCCCCCCCCCCCCCCCCCCCCCGGCAAGGGGACGGGGCTGGGACACAGAAGGGATGCAGCTGGCACTGCCGGAGCACTCCGCACCATGGCCAGGTCAGCGGCTCCATGGGAGCGAGGTTTCCTGTGGGATTTCTGCTCCCTCCCGTTTCCGGATGGGGTGGAAACATCTCCGAGCCCCGCGCAGCCCAAGCGTCCTTTTGTCCTGCCAGCGGTTCTGCTCCAGGGTTGGGATGTGCTGCGAAGAGCTCGGACCTGCACCGTCCTGACCCCATCCACCCCT